CAGCCTGAAGGTGGGCGACACCCTGGGCTCTCTGAACTCAAAGGTAGTGCAGCTGAAGGAGGACCTGACCCCTTACTACGACGAGGTGCGGAAGACGTGGGACAAGGAGATGGAGAGTCTGCGGCACGAGATGACGCAGGACCTGGACAAGGTGCGGCAGAAGTTGCAGCCCGCCCTGGAGCAGTTTGCACAGCAATGGGGGGCCGAGCTGGAGCTGTACTGGAAGAAGCTGGAGCCCGTGGCGTCCGAGCTGAAGGAGCTGTCGAGGGACAGGGTGGAGCAGCTGCAGCAGCAGCTGTCCCCGCTGGCGGAGGAGGCACGGGACCGGCTGCGCGGGCACATGGACGAGCTGCGCAAGAACTTGGCGCCCTACAGCGAGGAGCTGCACCAGAAGCTGACCCAGAAGCTGCAGGAGCTGCACGAGAAGGGCGTCCCCCACGCTGCCGACTTACAGGCCCAGGCCATCCAGCACCTCAGCAGCCTGCGCGAGAAGGTCACGCCCCTGGTGCAGGACTTCAGGGAGCGCGTCACGCCCTACACCGACAGCCTCAAGACCCGCATCATCAGCCTCCTCCAGGAGGCCCGCAAGAACCTGTCCTGAGCCCCGGGCCCGCACCCTGCCTCGGGGGCCGTTTGCTCCCGCCCTGGGCAGTGGCTTTGTCCAATAAACCTGCTTTAAGTTATCAGTGTGTTTGGTGCATCCCTGGGGGGCAGGTGGGGGGCTGTGTCTGGCCAGAGGGGTGGAGGGGTGCAGCACTGGGCTTTGTGCCCGTGTTGGAGCCAGGGCATGGAGCGTGGGAGCTGCTGCACCGTGTCCATGCCCAGCTGTGCCCATGCTGCCTGGGACCTGCTTCCTGCAGCTGCCGCAGCTGAGGGGGACCCCGAGACCCCTGCTTGGCTCCACTCCTCTCGCAGCTGCAGAGCGGGGCCCGTCTGGCGCCTGGCTCAGCTCAGCTCTGCCGCGACACCTCCGTGCCCACAACCCACTGCCCCGGCTGCCAGGGGTGTCCTGAGTCCTGGGCCCCTGTCACCTCCCGGGCAGCGTGAGGTGGGGGTGGGGAGTGCAGCCTGGTGCAGTGGGGGTGATGCCCCCAATGCGGGGGTCTCCAAAGAGGGGCTTTGAGGGAGGGGCTGTGCTGGGTGCCAAGCATGACAGTGTAGTGGCCTGGGGCGCCGTGAGTCCGGGAACTGGATTGGGCCTTGCATGGGTCACAGGGCAGCCAGAGCGGGGCTCCCGGCCAGCACACGCTCAGCATCCTGTGTCCTCGTGTGCACTGCACCTAGCACATGCAGACACACATGCACACAGACGTGTGCACACATGCACAAATACACGCACACACAGGGCTCCAGCAAAAAGGTGCCACGGCACATCCTTTTATTGCAAGAAGTGACAAAGGTCGAGCCCTTGCTTTACTCAGAGCTGAAAACACCCCCCTTCCCCCGCTTCCTTTCCCTCCCCCCCACCCTTGGCAGGTCCCAGGTTTCCTGGCCCATGGGAGTCGCATGCGCAGCTGCCCCCATGGAGGCCGTGCTGTGGGGCGGGCGCAGGGCTCTGTGCCCTCGGCCCGGGTGGCACAGTGGACCCGGGGCTCCCTAGCTGGTCTGTGGCTGTGTGAACGTCCTCTTCAGCTGCTCCAAGTAGCTCTGGAAGGTGTCCAGATGCTCCGACGCCCACTGCCTGGAGAGGGGAGGCCAAGAGCAGAATGAGGGGGTGCGAGAGGCAGGTGCCCGCGGCACGGCCCTGCCTGGCCCCCAACACACCTGCTCTGCTGCGCCAGCCTGGTCACGTCAAGCGAGGCGAGGGTGTCCTTGATTCTCTGAGTCGCCTGCTGCATGTAGGTCTCCATCTTGGCCTGAATCGTGTCCTCCGGCTCCTCCTGCGCCCCTGCAAGCACAGGCCCGGTGCGGTGAGGGGTGCCCTGCCCTGCCCGGGCGCTGCCCCCACCCCCTCTGCCCGTGGCCCTCCCAGCCCCAGCTCTTACGTGCAAGGGCGGCGAGGAGCGCCACGGCGAGGAGAGCGAGCACGACCGGGGCCCTCATGGTGCAGGCTGGGGAGACAGCACAGCTGGGTGAGGGCCCAGGGCCCGCCTCAGGCACTTGCCCTGTCTGCACCCGCCCGGGACCCTTGGATGGGGCATTTGCAAACAGACCAGCTCCCCGCAGCCTCCCACCCCTGCACAGATGGGCAGCGGCAGGTCCGCCCCCGCAGCTGCGCGGCCATACCTGCTGGCGTGGCTTCCTCGGCTCTGCTCCCTGGTCCTGGCCCCAGCCTGGCCAGTTATATACCCTGCTGGGATGCAGCTGGCCGGGCGCTGGGGCAAAGGTCAGGCGCTGGCTCGGCCGGCCGGTGGCCTTCCCAGCTTGCATTGGTGGCATCAGATTTGCTGGGGAGCGGGGCGTCGGCGGGGAGTTGAGAAATCCCCCGCGACCCGGGGCCAAGGCTGTGGGTGGGCTGATCCTGGCGCGCTGTCCTCTGCCCTCCTGCTCGGACAGCGCCTGCCGCTTGCCCTCGGCCCTGCGCCGCCACGTGCTGCGAGCAGGGTGCTGAGCCTGTGCCGGGGGGGGGCAAACGGGCACGGGCTTTGCCAGGAACGAGGCTCAAGGGGTAGGGCCGGGTGCGTGGGGGGCTCTGCCGGGGACCCGGGGGCAGATCCCTCTGCCACGTGCGCTTGCAGTGCTCAGGAGCTGAGCTGTCAACAGCCCCCGAGGCAAGAGCGGAGTCCCCCAGGCTGGGGCAGCGGTGGCAGGGCCTGCGGGCACTTGCAGCACCCCTTGCTGGCTGAGCTGCAGCGTGCAGCACCTGGCACCTCGCGGGCGGTGGCTCCGGGACAAGGGGCACGATATGGGCGCTGCTGACTCCTCCTGGGTGCAGTCGTCTGCCGTGTGGGGAAAAGGGGGCCGCGTCCGACCTGCCAGGCACGAGAAAGGCCTGAACTCCCCCAAGCCGAGGTGCCGGAGCCGGGAGGCTTTGAGGAACGCGGGTCCCCATTGGCACGTGCCTGCAGGCCCCGGTTGCATAACGCGGCCCTGGCAGCCCTGGCCCTGGGGAGCTCCCATCCTGCATGCCACCAAGACACACAAACACACCACCCCGGCCAGGCACAATGCCAGGGGCAGCCTGTGCCCAACCCGCTCACCCTCCCGGCAGTGCATGGTGCTGCGCCTCCAGCCGGGCCAGGCATGAGGCTGGCGTGGGCACCTTGCCCCAGGTGCTCTGGCCACAGGCGTTGCTGCTGGCCGTTGAACGTGGGTGGCGTGGGCTCAGCCCCACGGGTGACGCTGCAGCTGGGCACTGCCTTCACTCCTGGGGTGCGTGGGCCTGGAGGGAGCTGGCCCGGCCCGCTGGATCCGGCTGCCGGACAGGCTCCGAGCAAGGGCCCAGACAGGCTTCCTGCCCTGCACAGCACAGGTCTGGGGTGTTAGGGACAGATCCTGCCACGGCCAGTGCCCTGTACCTTGGCTGGGAATCATGGCTCCCACCCGGGGTGCAGGGCTGTGGCATAGTTGGCCCCGGTAGCCCTGCACTGGCCTGCTTCGGCCCCTGTGTCCCAACGTGCTTGGTAGGGAGGGCACTGTTATCCTGCCCGTGTTACAGGATGGGGAAACCAAGGCATGGGAATAGGGGAAATGCCATGCTCCAGGAATCAATGCTGGAGCGAGGGGAGGAACCCAGGAGTCCTGGGCAGGCCCAGCCAGACCCGTGCCTCTGCTCCAGGGCTGCAGGGAGTATCTGGCAGCCATGCTGCTCCCCTCGGCCGGCATGGCGCGCAGCATGGCTGTCTGCCCGTCTGCGGTGCCGTCCTGCCTCCTGCGTGGGCTGGGCAGCCCAGGCCCCTTCCGCCCCCTGGGCCTGGCGGGGCACTTGTGCCCAGCCCCTGGCTCTGGTGTTGGGGTGCAGAGGCAAGGCGCCCCGCAGCCCCCCAGCTCTGCCCACCCCGTCCCATGCAGAGTCTCTGCCGCAACCCAGCTGACTCGAGCCCCGTCTCCCAGCCCTGGTTGCCCTTGGCCCCTGCCCGTACCCCGTGGGCTGCCGTCTCCCTTCCTGCTTCCCTCCCGCCCGCTGGCCCGTGCTATCTCCGGCATCGCTCTCAGGCGGATAACGACGCCCTCGCGCACGTCAGGCACTTCCACGTCGCGTCTCTGCTAAAGTCCAAGCCCTGCGTGGAGCCCGGCACGGCTGCTCTCAGGGCATAAATACCAGGCGGCCAGGCACAGTGGGCAGCCCACGAGCAGCAGCGCAGGTAAGGGGCTGGGAGCGCAGCAGGCGGCTCTGCTGGCAGTGCGCCCTTGATTGATGGTGCTTGGGCCGCAGGCCACGGGGCCGCTGCCAGGACAAGGGCAGCTGGGGGTCTGCCCAGGGCTGGTGCTGGTGCAATGGGCTTGGCCTTGCCCAGGGCATGGTGGGGAGCTCCTGTGGGTGGAAATGATAGTGTGATGTGGGAGGGCAGCGGGGGGCAGCTTGGCTGCATGGAGACTGACCGACACTCTCATCTCTTCCATGCAGGACTCCTCCCTTCTCCAACCACCCGCAAACTGCAGCTGCTCAGGATGTCTCTGAAGACCCTCGCCCTCGCCCTGGCACTCCTCGCCGTCGCCGGTGAGTGAGGGTGTCCTGCTCAGCTGCCCCATCCCCAGCTCTGTAGGGCCCCGCAGGGCTCAGGCACAGCCTCCGTGGGGGCTCGGCGCCGGCCTCTGATGGGTGCTAGAGCTAGAGGCAGGGAGGCCAGGCTATGAGCGGCAGGGGGTGGCATGAAGCACCCCTGGTCCCCAACCTGCCCTGATGCCTGTAGGGGACGTGGCTGCACGGGAGGTGGGGGAGGCAGGGGCCCTGGCGCTCAGCGTCTCAGCATCCTCGCGGCCTCCGCAGGCAGCCACGCGGAGCTGGACGCAGAGCTGGACGCGCAGCTGGACGCGCAGCAGGTGGCCAACGTGGTCTGGAGCTACTTCACAGACATGAGGAACAGCGCGCAGGAGACAGCGGACCAGATCCAGCAGTCCGAGCTCAGCAAGAAAATCAAGTGAGTGCAGGCGATGAACCCTGCCGGAGACGGGGCCGGGGCAGAGAACAGACCTCTGCTTTCTGCTGCGGGAGGAGGGCTCATGCCAGGGTCCCGGGGCCTGCAGGAGTCGGGGGTTGGAGGAGCCGCGTGACAACTGTGCCCGCTCTCCGCCCGCAGCTCCCTCCTGCAGGACAACTTCCAGAACGTCCAGACCTACATGGCCGACCTGCAGAAGCTGATCCCCTTCACCGCCGAGCTGCAGGCCCGGCTGAGCCAGGACTCAGAGAAGCTGAAGGTGCAGATCCGCCAGGAGCTGGAGGAGCTGCGGGCCAAGCTGTCGCCCTACGCTGACGACGTGCACCAGCAGATCACCCGTAACATCCAGGAGCTGCAGCAGAAGCTGGCGCCCTATGCCGAGCAGCTGCGCAGCCAGGTGGACCAGAACGCAGAGGAGCTGCGCCAGAGCCTGGCCCCCTACACCCAGAAGCTGCAGGACAATGCAGGCAACATCCAAGCCGTCCTGGCCCCCTACGCCGACCAGCTGCAGGAGCAGATCAACAGCAACGTGAAGGGCATGAAGGACCAGCTGACTTCCCTGACTGAAAATCTCAAGGTCAAAGTGGACCAGACCGTGGCTGAGGTGCAGAAGAGCTTGGCTCCCTACGCCCAGGATGCACAGGACAAGCTGGCCCACCAGGTCGAGGGCCTCTCCTTCCAGATGCAGAAGGCGGTGGAGGAGCTGCAGGCCCAGCTGGCCCAGGGCACCGAGGAGCTGCGGGGCCAGCTGAGCCCCTATGCCGAGGAGCTGCGGGAGAAGCTGCAGGGCGACAGCAAGAGCCTGCACCAGATGCTGGAGGGCCTGAGCGGGCGCATGGACCGTGCCATCGAGGACTTCCGCCAGCGCGTCGCGCCCCACGGGGAGGCCTTCAACCAGAAGCTGGTGCAGAAGCTGGAGGAGCTGCGGCAGAAGCTGGGGTCCGACACGAGCAGCATAGAGGACCACCTCGCCTTCCTGGAGAGGGATATGCGCCAGCAGATCTCCTCCTTCCTCAGCAGCCTTAAGCAGATCGAGAGCTCACCCCAGGATGAGCAATGAGGGGCGTCCATGCGGCCCCGCGGCAGCCCCATGGGGAGAGGGAGCTGCCCGTCTGCCTGTCCCCACTGCACTTCATTCCTGCCCAAACGCTGCACTCACTGCAGCTGCAGAAATAAAACTGCACCACAGCAACGTGCCGTCTCCGTCTCGTCTCTCAGCCCGGTTGGGAGACAAGTCCCCATCCTGCGCGGGGTCCCCGGGGCTGCGGGGGGATGGAGTGGGCTGGCGCAGGGGGGGTGAGCAAGGTTGCCCGGGGTCTCCCTGTCTTCTTTCCCCCACCCTTTGAGGGCACAAGGGGACGGGGCTGTGCTGGGGGGAGCCGTGGGTCAGGCCGTCACTGGGATGGGAGGGCAGCGGTCTCCCGAGCAGTCGCTTTATTCAGTGGGGAAGGCTGCGAGGCCTGGCCCTGGCCCCTGCTGCAGGATCTGGGCCCAGACCCCGCCAGGGGCATTTAAATCCATGGGGATTTAAAAGCAGCAGCCTCCCCGCCAGCCACCGCTGGGAGATCTCCAAGCCCCGACAGCCATAGGCCTGCCCTGGGTGTAGAGCCGTGCCGCTCCGTGAAGTCTGTGCGGATCTGCCGCCTTGCATCAGCTGAGCCTTGGCCCAAGGGCCTTGGACGCTCCCCGGCAGGGCAGAGCTCAGTCCAGGGCCCCGGGGGGCTGCAAAGGTCCCCAGCAGGTGTGAGCTGGGGACCTGCCCGGGGAGGTGGAGGGCACTTCTGCCACCTTTGCTCCCCTCCTCTCAGGGGGCAGCTCTGGGGCACAGCCGGGCGCTGGTTCTCAGCGAGGGCCTGGGAGCAAATGGCCCTGGCGCTCTGCTCAGGAGGCGGATAGGGCACCGTCGCCCCAGGCTGGCAGGCCCCAGGTCCGCAGAGCGCCCAGGGCTGCAGCTCCTCTGCAAGCCATGCCTTGTCCTGAGCTGGCTTGGGTTTGTACATGTGAGCCATGCTCAGGCATGTGCTGCGCTGGTGCATGCTCCCATGTCCCTCTGCCCCCTTGCCGGACAGCTCAGGCCGTGGAGCCGACCAGCTAGGCCTAGCCAGGGCTGCTCCCATCTTACGGACACCGCGTGACCCGGGCCATCCAGGCTTCCTCCCGCCAGCCCGATTCACGTGGGAAGCAAGCGCTGTGGGCGAGCGGGCAGGCTGGGTGCGAGTGCCACGGTGGCCAGACACCAGTGGGAAGCAAAGGGGCTCTCACGACCCCGCGCGGGAGCAGATCTGAGTGTGGGGAGTGCGCTTTCCACTGCAGGGCAGTGCAGACCAGACGGCGGTGGTCAGGGGTCAGGCAGGGAAGCAAACAGGACGTGAGCATCCTTGCCCTCTGCAACCCGGTGTTTGCCTGGCTCGGGGGCGGGAGCTGAACTCTGGCCTTGGAGGAGGGCTGCTGATGGCTTGGCGCTTCAGCCTGCCCATCCACCCATCTGGACTTTGCCAGAGACATGGACTGTCACCTGCTGCCGATGTGCACACAAACAGCCCTTATCACCAGGAACAGGCTGAAACCCAGCTTGCTGTGCCATGCCATGCCGTGCCGTGCCACGGGCTTCCAGGAAAGGCGCTGGGGACATGGGTGGGATGACAGCTGCCTGTGGGTCCATTCCTGGGACAAGGGGACGCCATCCCCCGGTTGTTGCTGTGCTTGCTCCCCTCAACATGGGTCTTCTCCCAAGTCAGATTCAGCCCCCGGCCTGTGAGCAGCCCCCTACAACGCCGCGGGTGCCCTCAGCATGGACACAACTGCCCTCCCCACCCCACAGCAAGCCCGGACAGCTCTGCCCTAATGCACCAGCACTCTCTGTGCCTCTGAGCAGTCCTGAGCTTCCCCGCCAGCATTGCCAGCCCATGGCTTGGCTCATGTCACGTCCCCTGGGCCTGCATCTGCATCTGACCCTGTCAGGTGTCTTCCCGCTCCACCTGCCTGGGGCAGGAGCTGGGCACTGAGCCCGCGGTTCCAGCACCAGGGTCCCGTGCACCCCTCTGAAATGGCCCGAGCAGGGGAAACGCTGTAGGTTCGTGCTTTGCTGCCGCGTGCCATGGCTGGCTCATCCCCTGGAAATGAATGTTGTAACAAGCAAGGCCGCCCCCGCCCCCCTACCACTTGCACAGTGACTGGTGCAGTGAGGCCTGGGTCTCGCCTGGGGCACGGAGGTGATAAAATCCTAATAGCCTCAACCCCCCACGGCTGGAGGGGAACATCGCTGAAGAGGCCATAGCCAGCCCTAAAGACCTGCCCTTCCCTGCCTCCTCTCCCCCGGCCATGCAGAGAGTCTCTCCCGGGGCTTTGCACAAGACAACAGCTCCCCACCCACTGTGGGGCTGGCGAACGCCCATCCGAGCTCTGTCAACAGAGCGTGCTGTTTATTCTGCTGCACGAGACTGGGGTGCAAAGGTCGGCCCCGAGTCCTGCGTCACCTGCTGGCAGAGCAAACAGCAAAGCCTCCGTTATTGCCGTCGAGCAAGCCCCTTATCCGCCGAGCCGAGCAGGGTCAAGACCTACACCGGGCTACTGGCCCTGCCTGTCTAAGAGCACCAGTATTTTTAGCTCGCTTGCGCAGAGGATGCTCGGGGGGCCACAGAAGCACGGCTCCTGCTCCGGGCAAAGGGCTAAGTTTGTGGGCTGCAAGAGATGGGAGCGACTGGATGGGCAAGGTGGACCCGAACCAGCCTGGGTGCTGGGGCGGGCCGGGGAGGTAAGTGAATGGGCTGCACCTGGGCACCCACGTCATCCTGAGTGAACCTCCACGTTGTATTTACATGGTGTGAGGTCCAAACTGACTGGCTCTGCAGCGTGCGTGGGAGAGCCGATGACCTGAGCGCCTCTGCCTTCGGCTGATGCGGCGCATATAAAGCAGGCAGCACGCTGGGGCTGCAGCACAGAGGAGCAGCGGGGAACAGGAGCCAGGTAAGGTGCGGAAGGTGCCGCACTGTTGTTCTGCAGTGGCTCCAGGAGAGCTAAAGCAGAGGAATGTGAGCAGGACTCATGAGTTCAGGTCCCCACTCTGGCAAGGTGGCCTTGGGGTTCGGGGCTCTGGGATGGCACTGCAGCCTCAGGGAGCAAAGGATCCTTTCTCTGACACCCTCTCGGTCACAGCTCCTCTGTGAGCCTTGGCCTCTAGCTCCCAGAGGGCATAACTGGGCTACCCACCCCAGTCTGTGCAGCGCTGACTTGCGACGCTGCACTACTTGGATGGCAAAGCGCTTTGAGAGCCCTGGACGAAGATGCCTCTGCAGGGCAAAGTGCTTGTGTCTGTGTTTCCCCGGGAGCCTGAACCCGCACTGGCAGCTCACGAAGGAGTTTGGTAACGGGCCTGAATCAGGGCTTCTGAGTGCCTCACCGGGTAGGGGAAGGACTTGTTAAAGTGGGTTTCGCCAGGGAGCTCCTGCCCGCTCTCCCAGGCTGCTCTCAGGGGAATCTCCTTGCAAGCAGAGCTGAACACCCCGGATAATTTTAAACTGCTGACTGTACTGCCTCTGGAGGCTGGGGGGATGCCAGGTGCGTATCCAAGTCCAGGCTACCCAGGCAGTTTCAGTCCAGACCTGAAACAGATCTGGGCAGAAAGAGGGACCTAATTCAGGAGCCAAAAATGACCCTGAGCCCTCCCCTGTGAGTCAAGAAAGTGGAGGTGAGGTCTGGGCCTAACTCTCCTCTTCCTGCAGTGTCCGCAGCAATGACCAGACGGACCATGTCTCTGGACGCTGCACTCCTGGTTGTGGTCCTGGCCAGTTTGTCAGGTGGGTGCTCTTCTTTGTAAATGCTGTGCGGAGGCTAACTGCATCGCTCTAGACAGGCCGGGGCATGAGGAGGCAGCTTGGTGAGAGGGGCTGTTAGGCTGCCAGGTGAGATGACCCCGCTCCTCCCCACCTGGGGCAGTTTCCACAGTGATGTGGCCCTTTCTCTGCTCGTTTGCAAATCTGCATCACCTGAGATGCAGTTGCTCTGAGCTCATTGCTGCACTTCAGTCTGCTGCTCCTCTGTTTTTGGAGCTGGGGCCTGGCTGTTACTGCTCCCCAGATCCCTTGGTTAATGATACCCACCCCCAGAGAGACGTTGCACTGGGATGGATCGGCAGAGATGTTAAGCCCCTGGAGCCCATCCTGAAGGCAACGTCATCTCAGAGAGGGGATTTCTCAGGGACTTGTCTGGGTACAGAAGCTCCCTCAGAGCCTTCAGGGGAAAATACCGTAATGACAGTGGCAGACTGAGCACCATCGGCCCAAAAGTAGGTCCTAGCTTTGGGATTTTTTCCAGGGAGATGTCCCCCATGCCTCTGTTTGGCCTCCCTGCGTCCTGCTGGGCAGTCAAGTTTACCAAGGCTCCTCCCAGGCTGCTCTGTGAACCCTCTTGTTCCACCCCTGCAGCTTCTCAGGCCGAAGCGGCAGCGAATGGGCTCTGGGATTACCACAGCCAGCTCACGCGTGACAAGGACAGCATGGAGCACGCCCAGAGCACGAAGCTGGGCAGAGACACCAAGTGAGTACAGTGTTTTTTTGGGGTTAAATACATCGCAGGCACTAACCTGCCACAGCCCACCCGCTTCCAAGTGTATGGATCTATTTGTGACAGGCGCACAAGTACCCCAAGAGCTCAGTCCATGCAGGCACCCAGCCCCTTCTACGGGCAAGTGACAGAGGGACAGGTTAAGGAATCTGGGATCTGACCTTTAGGAGTATGTGTCTGTTTTTTCCATACAGAAACCTGAAGGAAAGCATCCAGGAAAGGGGCAGCTACATGGGAAATTTCCTTGAGAAACTGGCTCCGTTCAATGGGGGACTCCAGCCCCGGCTCTATCAAGACTCCGATGGGCTGCGAAGGCTCATCAGGAAGGAGCTGGAAGGCCTGAGGATGAAACTGTCTCCTTACGTGGATGATGTGCACCAGAGGATCGGCAAGAACCTGGAGAGGCTTCGTTTCCAGCTGCAGCCATTCACAGCAGAGCTCCTGGACCAGGTGTCACTGAAAGCCGGGGAGCTTCGCCAGCACCTCACCCCCAGTCAAGACATGAAGGCGCAGCTCCTGGAGGGCATGGACGAGGTTCAGAGGTTCATTGCCCAGTATGCCAATAAAATAGCCTTCCATACCGATCTAGTGAAGGAAACCTTCCATCCGTTCGCAGACAAGCTCGTCGCCGAGATCCACCGCAACCTGGAAGAGCTCCATAGGAACGTGGTGCCTCACACCAAAGCCAGCCCAGAGAAAGTCGATCAGTACATCCAGGAGCTCTCCGCGAAGCTGACCCAGAATGCCAGGGGTCTCCACCAGAAGATCCAAAGGAACCTCAAGCACCTCAAAGAGCAGCTGAGTCTTTACCCCGGTGACCTGAGAGAGCCCTTTGCTAGCTCGCCCGTAGACCCTCGCTGGGTGGCAGAGCCTTACGTGGAGGGCCTGGCCCGGGAAGTGCAGATGAGAGTCGACGAGTTCAGAAGGGACACGTTCCTCCAGATAGATGACTTCACCAGGACCGTTGCCCGGGAGACAGAAGACGTGAAGTTCAAGTTGTCTTCACCTTCTCCGTCCGCAGAGGAGTTTCAGGACAGCTCGGCACCTATTGAGGACTTGCACATCCGGCTCGACAGCCTGTGGAAGGATATTTCCCAGAGCTTAAATGAGAAGAGCAGTGACTTTGAGTGAAACCTGCTGTATCGGTGTGTGCAGGAGTGTGTGCGCATGCACATGAGTGCTTAAACCATGGTGGGATGAAATAAAAATCATGCCCGACTACACTGCGTTGGGCTCCAATAGCAGTGATTTCGATAGCTGTACCAATAACAGGCCATCCTTGCCGTTCCCCGCACCACAGAAATACAGATCTTTCTCTCTAGTTGCCAAGCTAGTCAGGCAATCCATGACTTTATTTGACCATGCAATTTGGCTGGAATGATCCCACAAACCTTTGGTGTTGTGGTCCTCCGGAAACCACGCAGTGTGCCTCTCTGAGAAGCAGGCAGAAGTTAGTAACGACCTCATCTAGAATGACCTGTATCTATACATTATATATTTGTGTATAGAGGTTTAGCTAGACGGTCCAGTTCTGTAACCCTTACTCACCCAAGTGAGGCTACCTGGTACGGTCGCCAGCTCTGTGTGAATCTACTCTGGAAAGCCAACGTGCCCGTGTGCTTGCACGTAGAATCACAGGGTCGGAAGGGACCTCAATAGGTCATCGAGTCCGATCCCCTGCCCTGGGCAGGAAAAAGCGCTGGGGTCAGACGACCCCAGCCAGGTGCTTCTCCAGTCTCCTCTCGAAGACCCCCAAGGTAGGGGAGAGCACCCGACGTCGGTTTCGACTCTACGATGCTTGATCCGATGCCACGTTTGCTGCGTTGCCCATCTCCCTGGACAACATCTGTCCAAACTTCCCCGGACGCTCTAAGACAGCAGACGAGACCCCAGAAAAACCTGCAGCCAGGACTCCCGAGAAGACTCCAGCCAGGAGTCCTGCAAAAAGTCCAGCAAAGTCACCTCGAAGCAGTGCTTCCAAATCCATACGATTGCTATTTATGATATAAATACATTCATGTAGCTATGCTGCGACCGGCGCCGCGTGGCGGGGGAGCATCACCCCCCGGCACCTGCGCGGGATGCACCCGCCGAACTACGAACAGGTGTCCAGGGGGGCCGGGAGCCAAGCTGCGGCCTACTGCGGGCCCCGAAGCCTGAGTGGGAGTAGTTCCGCGTCACGTGGCCACAGGGAGGGGGAAATGCTTCAAAGGGGCGGGGCCCGCGCAGGAAGTTCCGTGTCGGAGGTGGGCGCGGGGCGGAAGCGGGGCGGCATGTCGGCCATCGGGGCTCTGGAGCCGGTGCGCGGGGCCGGGGCGGGCGGTGTGTTCCGGCCGCTCAGCGCCGAGGACGAAGAGCAGCAGCCGGCGGAGATCGAGTCCCTCTGCATGAACTGCTACCGCCACGTGAGCGGCAGGGGCCGGCCTGGATTGGGGCGGGGCGGGGCGGGGCG